GATTATTTCATTTTTTTTGCTTTACTTTTGTTTTGTTTTCATTTTTTTCCTTTCACAACTATTTTCAATTTATTTTTTTTTTAAATTATAAAAAAATGAAATGAAAAAAAGAAATGTGAAAAAAAATAAATAAAATAAAAAAAAATAAATAAACATAAATAAAAAATATTAAAAAAATGAATAAAATAAAAATAATTTTGAAAAAATACAAATTCAAAAAAATACAAATTAAATCAAATTAAAAAAGAAATTAAAATTTAAAAAAAAAATTAAAATTAAAAAAAAATAAAAAAAATAAAAATTAAATTAAATTAAAAAAATAATAATTACAATTAAAAAAAAAAATTAAATTAAAAAAAAAAAATTGTACGTGGCCTAGAACTGCCATAGCCAAACAAAATATACATGGATGGCCTAGAGCTGCCATAGACCATGATGCTTTTCTGGCTGCGTGCATCCAAGATGGCGGACAGGTCACGAGAAGAAAGGAAGTCGAAATTTCAAGTGTTTTTGTAAACTTGATGACATTAAGTGATTGAAATGACACAACTACGTTGACATCTACTGCAGATAGGTAAAATACATCATTATCGAGGATAAATAGTGTCAAATCAGCTGGATACAGCCATATACAAGTTTCGTGCCAGGAAATGGAAGTTATAAACGGACATATAAGAATATAAGTTTGGATTTGAGTTGATTGACTCTTACATTGTCGACAGTGCAAATGTAAGAATTATATGCCACAATAATAGAAATAGCCCAGATATTCAGGGAGAATGGGCTTGCTCTGAAAGTGATAAAGAAGGCACTTTGTTTATGTCCTAATATTAATATGGCATTGTTGCTTCTGTAGGTACCGGAGTACAGATGACGTATTCAATTCAGAAAGGCCGGCCCGTGGCATTTGCAACTATATCGAACATTTTGTCCCACAGCATTAAGTATAGTTTTCTATAATCTAGAGTAAGCAAAAAGTGTTCAAGTGATGCTTGATTTGTGTGAGACTTCGGAAGGGTGATATATTTTAAGACGATAAAACGTTAGTCTAGTTTAATTCCATTTTTTCTTCCACTACATAGATTTAGACTTTCAAACACTTTATCACTTTTGTCAACTTACTAATTTGTGCTACTGTCAACAACAACAAATGTTTTAACCTTTGTCATTGATTGTTGATTGCTAGGTAGAGCACAACCACAGCAATTAATAATGTAGCTGAATAGGGCTTGACTAATAAGGCTTTTCTATAAAAAGATCTTTTCAAATATTATCATGAAAAACAACTGTATGCACACAAGTTTATAGATCCCTGTGGTCCCTTGAGAACTTATAGATCCTATTAGTATTTTCTATTTAAGTTCAAGTAATTCTGCTTTATTGACAAAAACAACAATGCGAAAATCGAGTCGTTACAGTACCAAAAATGAATTGCCTGGAAGACTGCAGTGATTTTTTTCTACCAATTATACACCATTTATACCAAACCTTTTAAGAACCTTTCGTTGAGGCAATTGAGGGCACATATATTTTGGCATACCCTGATTATATTTATGGCAAAATATGTTTTCCCAGAGCTTTCTTGTGTACTGAATGTACAAAAAATCCTGAAACTAAACATGCTTTATATACGGCTAAATTTAAATGAAGGGGATATAAAGCAAAATATAGGAGAATTCCAAAAAATATCATAGAAGGTATTCAGCCTAATGAAAAAAAGATACTATAAAATATAAAGTTTATGTAATATTCAGCTCATTTCCAAATCACAACGATATCTTTTCCTTCAGGTAACGGAATGCATGATGAAAATCACCAACATCAATTTGTAATGGATCAGCAATGACTTGTTCACATTTGTTTCTTACATCTGTCGGCATATAGTCATCATAACTTGAAAAAACATCAGAAAGCTCTGCAACTTCATCGAGTTGTTGTTGTGTTACTTCAAATCCTATGAAAGAATATATTATATATCATAGGTTAGTCACACAAAAGAGATCTCCCAAGAGTTTCCCAGTTTTAAATCCTGATGTTTAGAAGTTATTTCTTAAAAAATGTGAGCACAATCTCTCGACCCTCTCTTGCGTTGTGTAACACTCTCACCACACCCCCTCTCACATTACATACRATCTCACTTCYGCTCAAAATTATTACAAAATCACTTCCGGTCAATAAGATAGATAGACAAGACAGACAGACAGACAGATAGATGGATGGATGGAGTGCACGTTTTTATAAGTGTTCCAGGTCCTCACTAAGGTAAGATGGTAGGTCACGGTGGAAAACTGGACTTGCATATTCCAGTAAATAAATAATAGATAAATAATAATAATACTTAGAGCACTTAATCTGTGAAGCTCTAAGCACTTAAGAGTCCTAAAAAGCAAAATTGAAATATTAAAGTAAATAAAAAAGTGACATTTCAGAAAACACAAGTAAATTCCTGTTGGCACAGATGATGTGTTCTGTTCATGAGTGGTTGCCATTGGCTTCTAGTGGATGTTGTAACAGGTGTAGCAGAATCAGGAAAAATGTGTTCTACCACCTATAGCTAAAAGTAACAAAAGTACACGACATACCACATTCTTGAAGGTCATATTTCTCAGGAAAAGCATAAATGTGGTTTGGTACTCCATCTGGTAAGTAAGTGTCTTTTTGGTGTCGAATTCTGTGGCTATTCCAGACTGTATTTACAAATGTGTCTATCTCCTTTTGCATAATTGGGATCATAATATAGGCTATAAGGTTGCTAAAATGAATTTAAAACAAAAAATGTTGATATATTTGTGTTGTTTTTGTTTTTGTTATTGTTGATGACTTTATTGATACCAACCGATGATGATCATTATCTGGCTCATAAATCCCATGGTCCTTTAATTTGTTTAAGGGGCCCTTAAAAAACTTCTCTAATCTTTCATGTAATTCCCTCCACCATCTTTCAATCTGCAAAGATGAGAGATACATTTACATGATGCATTGCACATCCAGACTAAAATTCATGAGTGTACTTTACACAGTTCTGCTGTATTGCAATTGTAGTATATAAGTAGTATAATATAGGGTACAAATATGGCTATTATGGGCTAGCAAGTAAAATGCTTATTACCTGATTTGAGGTGGAGGGTCCATAAATGACTGTTTCAACAGGGTCCTCCACATCTCCATGGTTTTGTCGTAAATAAGCATGCATTGTGGCCATAATTCCTGTCTCTGTGCCTTTATCAAGTCTCAGCTTGTTTGCAATGCGGCGTGTCTTGAACAAGTATTCCAGGTAAAAGCGTCCGATGATATTTGGGTCACTGTTAGTAGTCCATACTTTAATCCATAAAATTCTCCTACTACAGGTGTCTATACATCCATATACTGCGATTGGAAACACCCAGTTCTGATAACCCATAAGCTTATCATGACCGTCCAGAGAATGGACGCAGTTTGGCCCCGGTGAAGTAAAATGACCCTTGACTTTTTTCCTCTTAAACTGAGGAGCTCTTTCATGTAAAGCATTGGCGTCGATATCATACATCACAGCATAAACGACATCTCTTGGAACATTGAGCCCATGTACCTGCCTTATCTTCTTATGAAGCGCACGGTATCCTAGTAGTTTTCCGGGTCCGTCCATTTCTTTTTTTACTGCATCTTGGATCTCGTCTAACGCAATGTTCCGATTTGTGTACTTAATTTCAAAATAAGCAAGTCGTCTATCTAGCGTTCTTATGCTCCAAGTGTACTCGTCAAAGTCCCTTACCATAAAATCTAGAATCTCCTTTCGCTGTAAACCTTCTTTCACATAGCGCTCCAACGTTTCTTTCAAGGCCTCATCTTCTTTCCACAAATCATTTCTTACTCTCTCAGCCATTTTTGTTTTGGAATTGGTCAAAACATTATAACTACTGAACGTGCTTTTTAGAACAACTTTTCGAAATTAAAAAAAGCGCGAAACTACATAGTGATCTGGTCGGGCTGCCTGTTGTAACAACAGTTTTCATTCGCCGAAGATAAATGATTGACGGGAAGCAAGTTAAACGTTTCCCTCTTCTTGTAGAATATCGATCACGACCGATTACGTAAAATAACTAAAATGTCTGAGAAAGATTGGAAAGATTTTAAACACAGAATGAAAGAAAAGAAGAAGACGAAAGAAGAGAAGAACGAGAAGAACAGAACAATAAAGAATAACTACCTTACGGTGCAAAGACTGACTCCTGAAGTAAGCGGCAAGGCTCAAAAGTTTGATCGAATTGGGATGCGAGAATATGTTCCCATTGATACAAACGAACCGATCACATTGGAAAAGATTAAACAAGCGTGTGAGCATTACTTCAAACACCTTATTGGAAGAGAATTAAACTGCGACGTTCTAGCCGGGGAGCGTGGGCCCTCTTGTAGCACAATTGAACAAATTCCAGACTTGAAACTCATTCACGTAAGGTTTCTGCCAGGCGGGAAAGCAACATACAGCAAGATTGAAGACAGCGACCCTTGTACATCATCTGTGGTCGCATCTTGCACAACCAAGCAAGACAAGATGAAAGATGACTCAAATGTTGAGAGAGCAGGATCACCAGAACCCAAACCAAAGAAATCACGATTTGAGAGCCCAACCAAGTATCCTTTAAGTCTGTCTGTTTCAGATATGCTTAAACTAGGTAAACTTGGTCAGCCGGGTAGATCGACTACCGTTGTTAAAGTGTACTCTTTCGACATCAACACTAAAACATGGTGCCAAGTTCCACAAATAGTTGAATTTGTGGAAGTCTCTGTGTGTGGAAAAGGTGCTTTCAGGCAAGCAACCAAAGCAACCACCTATCACCCGGATTTCCGCCACAATAGCTGGGTTATCAAAAGGTACATAGAGAAAGCAAGAGATCAGATTCTTAACTTGGGACTAACCATAGAAGATCACACAAGAAAAACGGTGCAAATGCACCTATTGGCAAGAAATCTTGCAAAACAGCTTAAGGAAAGGGTGAGAGATGTAAAAGAGTTTGGTAAGGCTTTGACATACCATAATATTTACTTGGGCGAAACTGGAGGAGATTTTGTTACCATTGAAGTGTTTATTGAGGGTGAATTTAAGAAATACCTTAACAATAATGGCAAAGTACCACAGGCTATACAGGATAAAGATATCAATGCACTTAAGGCTCAGTGCCTTGCTCATTTTTCTTTTGAACAGTCTGGTGGGAAACTCTTGTTATTGGACATTCAAGGAAGCAACGAAGACCTGTATGACCCAGAAATCTCTTCTGCTGAATTGTACGATGACTCAAAACAAGCCATACTCTATTGTGCAGGGAATCTGTCTACAGTAGCTATTACTACCTTTACAAATGAGCACAAGTGCAACAAGTTCTGCCAGCTTGCAAAGCTTAAACCATTTGTAAACCAAGAGAAAGAATCAGATGAGTAAAGGAAAAATAGATGAGTAAGGGAATGTTCATGTATTACTCTGAGAGGAAGAAGCCCGGGGGGGGGGGGGGGAGGGGAAGGGGGGGGTACTCCCATATATTTGCTATACGGGGAAGTGCCTCTGGCCAGCGTATGGTTTGTGGCCTTGTTGTCTAAAAAACAGGCTCTAATATTTTCATAAGAAATACTGTAGAAATAGCAGAAATACCGTTTCACTGTAACAGGATTAACATGTTATCAAAAATTTCTTATTGTCTTTGATGGATGTTAATGTAATTGCAGTTTTGATGGTTGCGGCTTAGATAGCGATTCCTTATTTTTCCGATTTGTCTTGAACAGGGTATGGATTTTTACTTTCTAGTGTTTTAAACAGGGTCAGGGTTTTAGACTGCTGGCGGCACGTACCTAACCAAAACGGGGTCGAGTAACCCCGTGGGGGAAGAAGTTTGTATTTTTAAAAACCCTTCAAAATGTTTAGAGCCCCTCTACTAAACTTATGATATTTTCAAATGCCCATTCATCAGAGTAAAAATATTTAAAATGCCTACTCAAAATGCCTACTCAAAACATATTTAGTGCAAAAACAATGTGATTTCTTTTTCTTGTATTTTATAATCAATTTCTAAGTATAAAAATACCCTACCCTCCCCCCTCAGAGTAATAAATGAACATTTTTTAAGCTACAGTGACCAGTATGGAGTTTTTAAGTTTCTAAACGTTTTTCTGTTCCAGTTCACATTCTATAATAAGGGCATTATTTGGAGAAATTTATAGCTCTTGTTCACTTCTAGTAATTTTGTGCCTGATATATAGTTATAACAAAGTTTTGTCATCCAGCTCAACATAATAATAATAATAATAATAATAATAATAATAATAATAATAATAATAATAATAATAATAATAATAATAATAATAATAATAATAATAATAATAATAATAATAATAATAATAATTCAACATTAGTTGTTCAAACCTTTTGAGAAAAAATTCACAAAAAATTATAGTACTTGTAAAATTTCTTTATCAAACAATTTATAGGATTTATTTAATGGTTGTGAAAATCTATGTGATATTCTGATCTAATAATCTTGCATTTTGCATTTTTTTTTGCTTGTCAAGTAGTACTGGCAATGAACCCATATTTGTCTGGGATAAAGTCTGATGTCCAGTCTGATGGGAATCATTTATCCACAACTAAGTGTTCATGTTTAAGTTTTGTAATTCCAGCATTTGAAGTAAAACATTATCACATTCACATATTTGCTCACTGTCATAACCAAAGTGAAATGTTACAACATACATGTTGTTAATAATAGAATTAAAGTGCAAGTCAGGAGCCAGGCAATTATTGTAGAATTTGTTGTGTTAATAAAAATCCCTGATTACTTTTTGTTTGTTGTAGTGTAGCAATCACAATATAATTCATGCCCTAAAATAGCATTACCAATGCATTTATTCACATGATTTGATCTTGTTTAAGTTTTAAGTTCAAGTTCAAGTTTTAACATATTCAATATTAGCCTTATTTTTTGGTACGTAACAACTTGACAAAGGTTAAAACATTTTGTTGTTGTTGACAGTAGCACACATTAAGTTGACAAAAGTGATTTTAAACACTTAAAAGTGTTTGAAAGTCTAAATCTATGTAGTGGAAGAAAAAATGGAATTAAACTAGACTAACGTTTTATCGTCTTAAAATATATCACCCTTCCGAAGTCTCACACAAATCAAGCATCACTTGAACACTTTTTGCTTACTCTAGATTATAGAAAACTATACTTAATGCTGTGGGACAAAATGTTCGATATAGTTGCAAATGCCACGGGCCGGCCTTTCTGAATTGAATACGTCATCTGTACTCCGGTACCTACAGAAGCAACAATGCCATATTAATATTAGGACATAAACAAAGTGCCTTCTTTATCACTTTCAGAGCAAGCCCATTCTCCCTGAATATCTGGGCTATTTCTATTATTGTGGCATATAATTCTTACATTTGCACTGTCGACAATGTAAGAGTCAATCAACTCAAATCCAAACTTATATTCTTATATGTCCGTTTATAACTTCCATTTCCTGGCACGAAACTTGTATATGGCTGTATCCAGCTGATTTGACACTATTTATCCTCGATAATGATGTATTTTACCTATCTGCAGTAGATGTCAACGTAGTTGTGTCATTTCAATCACTTAATGTCATCAAGTTTACAAAAACACTTGAAATTTCGACTTCCTTTCTTCTCGTGACCTGTCCGCCATCTTGGATGCACGCAGCCAGAAAAGCATCATGGTCTATGGCAGCTCTAGGCCATCCATGTATATTTTGTTTGGCTATGGCAGTTCTAGGCCACGTACAATTTTTTTTTTTTAATTTAATTTTTTTTTTTAATTGTAATTATTATTTTTTTAATTTAATTTAATTTTTATTTTTTTTATTTTTTTTTAATTTTAATTTTTTTTTTAAATTTTAATTTCTTTTTTAATTTGATTTAATTTGTATTTTTTTGAATTTGTATTTTTTCAAAATTATTTTTATTTTATTCATTTTTTTAATATTTTTTATTTATGTTTATTTATTTTTTTTTATTTTATTTATTTTTTTTCACATTTCTTTTTTTCATTTCATTTTTTTATAATTTAAAAAAAAAATAAATTGAAAATAGTTGTGAAAGGAAAAAAATGAAAACAAAACAAAAGTAAAGCAAAAAAAATGAAATAATCCAAAATAAAGTAAAATGAAAATATGATAAAAATAAAACAAAAAAATAGAATAAAAACAAAATAAATAAGATTTAGAATGAAAGTACAACAAAAAAAGAATATAAAAAAAATAAAGTTAAAAAAAAATGAAATGAAAATAAGTAAAACAAAAAAGGAAATGAAATAAATAGTACAAAAACTTAAAAAAAAAGATTAATAATAAAAAACATAGGAAAATTATAATAATATTTAAAATATTGCCAGAAAATGTTGATTTTTGCTATGGCAGTCCTAGGCCACCATAGTCTAGTACTTGGTTGATGTGGAAGACATTAAATTCTAATAAAACATTCGGACAGGTAACCATGCTTTCCAAGTTCTTTTGCCTGAGGCTCTTTTGGAATTTTAGCAACTCCTGYTTCAGTTGATGCTTTTCCTCAGAATTCACCATTCTGCATAATTTTCTTCTAGTACTTTTGTTCTCTGAGAATTCACTGAAAGGACTCCATATCTCCTTGTCACACTTGTTTTTGCAATCACATCTCTTTGCACAGTTATTACRACATTCATGCAAAGTGGGCAGAGCTGGTTCTTTCTCGAAACCAAAATGGAACATCAAATCTTTCCGAAGGCAGTTCTCACTTTCCAGAAAAGCTTTCATTGTTTCAGCACAATGAACAGAAGTTAGACCATTGAACAAAAGAACACAACAGCTTGGTTGGCCATCACGTCCCGCTCTCCCACACTCTTGTACATATGATTCCACTGTCTTCGGTGGACCAAAGTGAACAACRCGTCTTATCTCCTTGCAGTCTACGCCCATTCCAAAAGCCACAGTTGAAATTAAAACTCTAATATGTCCGTTGCTTTGAGCCATGTTGTGAGAAATGAAGTCCTTGACAGGTTTTGGTGKRCCRGCATGGAACATTTGTACCATTTGATTTTCTGGACATTTCTTGCCATGATATAATTCTTGTGAAAGGTAAATTTCAAATACCCTGTAAATTACAGAGCATTGCTTTCTAGTTTGACAATAGATTATTGTTCTCTCAGTTTTAATGCCGTTTCTTTGCACTTCTTTGATTAGAGATCCCAGTTGATTTTCTAGAGGTTGATTTTTGTCCAAATATTGTTTACTGTAAAACAAGTTTTTCTTATTAGGACYTTGTTCAATGAAATATACTTCGGACCGTTCCAGGTGTAGCGACTCCAAAATTTCCTTCTTTGTTGATGTTGTGGCAGTTGCAGTTAAAATCATTAAATGACAATGTTCAGGAATAAGAGACCTCAGTTCTCCAAGACAACCATACCATTTACGAAAGATATTCCCTTGCTTGTTTTTTGAAAGTCCCCTATATATGTAAAAACAACAATAAAAGATTTTAGTAAATCTCAAACACTGCCCAATATTAATGAATATGTCATCACATCTGAATTAACATCAGTTTGGATTCCAATAAAGTCTGCAAACACTGCAAATATTGATCTCTAAACATTTTTAATGTTTCTAACATCTTGTTTGACAACATGTAAAGTAAGCTTTAAGTAAAGTAAGCTTATAGTGACACTGCATCTTTTGAAATCTCTTAAAAACCTTTTTTCTTGAAATAACTTTCTTGATATAAGAAAATTTCTGATGTCATGTCCCTTTTAAGAAAAGAATAATCTTATCTTGGTACTATATCTTGGGGGCATTTTAAATAATTTCAAAGGAAAAAATTCTTATTTCAAGAAAAAATGTTCTTACTTTAATTGTTGAATGGCTGTAATATTACATTGTTTTCAAACCAAAATAACAATAACCAACACTCACCAATGCGATATGCAATGTGCTTCGTCGATGGCTACTCCAACAAGCTTGCTTTTGAAGGTAGAATCGCTTAGAATATCTCTACCGGTGCTAGACAGCAAGTATTCCGGAGAGCA